ACGGTTGTCGGTTCTTCGAGCTATATGGCCGGCCCATTGTCACTTCAGCTTACGAATCCGTTGGGCTATGTCGGTCACTCTGGTTCTACTGCGAATATCCTCATTTCTAAGTTTATCACGCAGAGAAACTCCGAGCATAGCCCTCTTCATAGCTCGTTGAGCGACTTTGAGCGTCCTCATACGGCCAGCAGTGAATATTAACTTTGGCATACCTTGGGGGAGGCCTATGTTCAGCAGTGGACTTGTGAAGGGCTGTAGTGATGATGATGATGAATCAAACACTTGTAAAATTATTAGCAGCGCGTGTCAGACTACGTGGCGAAAGCTTACAAAGCTAAGCACGTATATAAATAATTGTTGCGGTCAATGTACCTTCCGATTCAGATGTCAAGATCGAGTTACCGTAGAACAGGTGACGAGAGTAAACATTATAATTCTCGATACGGACTGCGTCATTCGGGAAAATAGCTTAGTAATTACGCCTCATAAACAAATGACAAATGAGATTAATATCGAGCCGGTGATCTTTGCACCAGAGATCGCGCTTGTCTATAACATCATCAACATATCCAACGATACCCATCAATACGATCAACATTACGGAGAATTTCGGGCAAGCTATAGAAAATATTGACCGGCAGATTAAAGAGTTAAAATCAGCTTCGGACGGCATATCCAGTGAGACGAACAGCCTCGACTATCATGATGACTATCAATACGCCGCTATCTATTCTCTGGTGGTGGCAGGACTAGCAGCAGCGTACTTTGCGTGGGTGCGCGCGAGGTGGAGACGCCCCCGCCCGTCCAGCTCCAACCAGCGGTCAGCGTGACACCAGTATACAGTGTGTGTTTAAAAGATGTGAAGTGTCAAAGTGAGTGTGTGAAAACAGAACAAAGTGATCATTGTGCAAGTGTGTCCGATCAAGATAATCAAAGTGTGCCTAATCTATCAGTGCATAAAAACACTTCCCCAATTTTACTTAAATGTAATTTAAGAAAAACTCGTTAATAATGTCATGTAATCATCTTATAAATTAGCCGATAAGTGTTATGTCGGTCTCATCTATGTTTTAGTTTAGCTCATCTCATAGTCATCTCGCCCTTCTTCTCGCCCGGGAGCATGTACGGTGCAACCGCACATATCGCCCGATTTTGTTATTTTTATTGTAAATCGAATCAGTTCACATAACATAGCCACACAGCGCGTTCGTGCACCCATCCTTAGCAGTTTTTAAGTATATTTTCCCCAAAGAGATTTAAATATATATAAATATATATACTACTTAAATTTCTTTGATTTTACCTTTTCTATCAAGCAGCATATTTTATTTATATCATCAGCAGCAGAATTTTAGGTGCAACGTACACCTGTGATCTGTGTATTTTGTGATTGTAAATTAATTATATTTAACTTTCTTCCTACAAATACATGTATTGAGGTTTTTGAAGAATATTTCCTCTACTCAATGAAGAAAATTTGGCTCTACTTAATTCTATAGATGAAGTCGTTTTATCGAACGAAAATTGATTGATTCTCACGGTGGTACGTAAATATTACGCTAGATGGCACAAACACGCTATTGGCTAATTTAATATTTATATTACCTTAAGAGTTAAAAATTGAAAATGAATAATTATATAATAAATAGTCATTATTTTATGGTAAAAAAATTTGCAAAGCTTTATCTTCCTATTAATCTGTTCTTCTATGCATATAATTTAAACAAAATAATTTCGATGTTTCACATCTGCCAAGCATCCCTTTTTTTGTACATAGTTTGTTTGTACTTTGTTCATGCTTTTCTTTTGTTCATGTACTGTATTGTATGTAAATATCTTTTTCTTTCGCTCAAGCAAACCCAAACGGCTCTTTTCAAAGCCACCGAAGGCCATATCTTCAAGACCATATCTCTTAAAATCTATCTAGCGGTAGTATGCCTTCTGTGTGCTTTGTTAAACACGTCCTTGACAGCACTGAATATGAAACTAAACAGTGGACACAGATCAAGATTGGTGTATTTTTATAAAACTGTTAAAAACAACAAAACCATATCTTGGGCTTGCCCTAGTTTGGAGCCCTAGCTTCGCCACTGGCTGAAAGTCTTATATGGAAGTTCGTTCACGATGAATGTTTTCATTCGGAAATATGTTGTTTAAAAACGGGAAAAAACGTTGAAAAGAGTTCACGTTTCAGCAAATTGGCTTTAGAAATAGGAGAAAATATCATCGATTGAATGGTCGTTTACCATTCAAATCTAATTTGTCTGAAGAAAGAAGAAAACCTTTTAGACGATAAGCACGACATAGTGAAAATGATGATTAAAGGAGTTCATCATCATTTTGGTCACGCTAATCATCAAACGGTGATGAATGAAGTGAACCAAAAGTTTTATATTCTGAATTTACGTAATACAGTTCGTAATGTTACACGTAACTGTCATTGGTGTAAGACCTATAAATCTAGGCTACAAACTGTACCGCAAGGCAATCTTCCTTTAGAAAGAATAGCTCATCATGAGCCACTTTTCACATGTTCAGCCGTAGATTATTTCGGCCCCATGAGTGTATCTGTGGGAAGGAGGCATGAGAAACTGTGGGAAGTTTTATTCACTTGTTTGACTAGCAGAGTAGTACACCTGGAATTAGCAGCGTCATTGACACCATCGTCAATGATAATGGCGTTAAGGCGATTTATCGTCAGAAGAGGAAAACCTTCCGTCGTTTACAGCGTTAACGGAACTAATTTCAAAGCTGTAAGTAAGAAACTTACACAGGCATGCATGGAATGCTATGACAGCATGAAAAATGAATGTTTTAAGAAATATATTAATTGGAAGTTCATACCACCTGGAGCACCTCATATGAAAGGGGCCTGGGAAAAGTTAATAAGATTCAAGACAGCTTTAATGGCAACTCTTAAGGAAAAGAGTCCTAAAGAGGAAATTTTGCACATGTAGCGACTCACACATTTATTTATTTTATCTTCCTAAAAGAAAAAAATTATATATATATATATATATATATATATATATATATATATATATATATATATATATATATATATATATATATATATATATATATATATATGACAATTTAATATTAATATTATAATATTTATATATCTACAATACAATTACAGTCATACACATATATATTATAATATATACTATTTCTATTTACTATAGTAAAATTGATTTCAGTATTATACGTCTTGTATTAACTCTCCCCGCCGGAAAGTCGAAATATAATGGTACATGTACGATATATTACTTTCCTCTATGAAATGGTAAAAACTTAATTTTGTTATCAACGAGCAATGCACCTACGTCACGGTATGTTCATCAGCCGCATTCGAATATCGACCGACCAGTTGCGATCTAGCCGTCTGACGTGAAACCTGCGCCGCTTGCGCTTACGCCGTTCCTTAGCCTTGCAATTAACGTAAATTGTTAAGTGATAACTTCTAGTTCTATTGCTTGTAATTCTATACTGTACTTTCTGCTTTCATCTTCTATATACAGGGTGTTAGTGTAAATACCGTTACCCCTGAAACCAGTGGTTTCATTTCACTTATAGAAGGTAAATTCAATGAATTAAAAAAAAACGCTATTTTCTTTCATAAAATTTAAAAAGTTTCTGTCCGACACCGTCCGTAAATTCATGGATATCCTATGCGCCCGCGGGCGGTGATCTTTAAAGTGACGTAATCACTTTAAAGATCACCGCCCGCGCTAGCTACCTACACAACATTCCAATAAAAACACAATAGGTACACATAACCTGTGATGTAACTTTTCCTTCATACTTTCATTCTGGCTTAGGACAGGCAAAAATTGAGGAATTAAGGAAAAATTGAGATTTTACTAAAAAAATGTTGTTATTTTTCATTGAATTTACATTCTATAAGTGAAACCAAACCACTGGTTTCAAGTATAACGGTGTTTAAACTAACAGCCTGTATTGTGACTTTATCTATCACCTTCTATTTCTTTATGTGAAACTCTTTTTGTGGTGTCCAATATAAAACTAACTTAAACTGTGACTTAGTCGTTTATTCCGGCAACGGACTTTACCAGTAGGTAACAAACCTACAACACCACAACTACATCTACACTCCATACACACGTTGGTTTTAGAAGCAGAGCACACAGTCAATTCACGACCATTAATTTTGGATAGTCCCGAGGAGGGCTTGACGCCTTATCATTTTCTTTTAGGACGTTCTTGTGGAGATAGTCCACCTGGTTTATTTATGGATAAACATTTATATCGGTGAACATCTCATTCTTCGTCTCATCAATGACATCGGTCAGCCGAATGGGAAGCATATTAGCAGCCCATTTTTGGTCAAGATGGCTAAAGGAATATATGCCTACGTTGATACCTTGAACAGTCGACAATAACAAGTTCATGGAGCCTAAGGTGGGTGACGTTGTTTTGATAGTAGATCATTGGCTACCACGTAATACATGGCGACAAGGTAAAGTGCATAGGACGTTACAAGGAGAGGATGGTCACACTAGGCTTGTGGACGTCATCACGAAGACAGGCATTCTGAGGAGGCCTACATCTCGTTTAAAAGTCCTGGTACCTGCGACGCTGCCCTTATAATGGTACTAGCGTAAGTGGGGAGATTGTTAGCGTCGCAAGCATAAAATCAGTAAACCAATGTTAATATAGAAAGGGTAATCCCTGAACCTTAAGACAGTGTGTGAATGTATGAATGTCATGTGAATGTAGCGGTGCACGAACATTTGTTTTAACTTAAAGTCGTGTGTTACTTAACAATCGGTTGCGCAACATAAACCGAAATATTAAATGATTAAAGAAAATTTTATTAACCCTTTATAAGGCATAAGCATCTAGGGGTGGATAAGTAAAACTGTTGATGGTTTTAGACTATTTTTATTATGGTTTTTCACAAAATGCAAATAAGAAATTCAAAAATTTAAAAAAACACGGTGGTAAATATTTTCCGGCTGCCCGTGACGCCTTAACTAGCCTTTCCTATGAAATGCAGTAAAACATGGTGTTATGCAGAGCGGAACTTTGCATTTTTCACATATAACTTTCGATCTTTTGTCTTTTTCTTTTGTGCTACACATTCTGCAACGTTTATATGAAGGCGATTCAACGGGCATATGGTCTCCAACGTTGGTGAAACGAACTTCCTCTGCGACAACATGCACTGCCTTTTGGCGATTCTCAGAAGCAATTTTTTTTCTGCAGATATAGTTGACTAAACTACCAGATCGTCGTTTTCTACTGGAAAACCCACTGATCAGTCCTCTAGCGACAGAGACTCGAAATTCAAGATTGCTTAGTTTTGTCGCATTCTTATTTTGGCAATATAACAAGTATGCATTTGTTATACTTGTATCTAAAAGGAAAAAGAATATTCGGACCCACCATCTCCTACTTCTTCTGCCTACTGAATAGGTACTTTTTATCTGATCAAAGTGATCAACGCCTCCCATCCTTTTAGTATACTCCTTTATTGCTAACGGGCAGTTGATTTCTTGTTTTGTGCCGTCTTTCTGAGTCCGTAAGACAGTGGTTTTGCCAACTTTTGGATGGAATGCATTACTCAATAGGAGAACCTCTTTGGTATCTTGCCAAACTAAGAAAGATACATTTCCCTTGACTCTCCATTTATATTGTCCTTTTGCAAGCTTCTGATTCGTTTTTACAAGTACAGGCAGATGTTTTCTGTGTCTTCGTACAGTTCCTGTAGCATAAATGCCATTTTCATATAGATATTGCATTAGAGTGTAGTCACAGAAGAAATTGTCAAATGTAATAATAATATGATATTCCTCCAGTGCTTTATTTATCAGCTTTTCAGTCAACATCTTCACAACTTTGGATCCTAGTCCTTCCTCTGTTCCGGTTTTTGATTTTCCAGTGTATATGTAGAATTCATAGAGATACCCAGTTTTACTGTCACAGCGACACCATACCTTGTAACCTCTTTTTATGGGCTTTAGAGGCATATACTGTTTCATGGAAGACCGGCCTTTGAAGAGAATCATCGATTCATCAATACTTTGGGATGAGGAGTCTTTGGCATTTTTCTGACATGCCTGAGTGATAAGATCCAATAATGGGCGTATTTTGTAAAGTTTGTCATAGTTCTCGCTTGTCTTATCTGGTATCTGTGTATTATCATTCACGTGCAGATTTCGCAATATCTTCTTGAATCGCTTTACGGTCATAGTCTCTGCTATTTCATCTACCCTGAAACCAGGGTCGGAAGACCAATAAAGGTCAATAGAAGGCAGAATATTGTATCCCATTATTATAAAAATCCCTACAAAGGCCTTCAGTTCTTTTTTTATCTAATTGTGTCCATCCTTCATCTTTCCTTTGCTCTGCATATAAGTTTGTTTGATATATTATCAAATCGTAGACTTCATCAGTGAAGAATTTTTCAAATACAGTTACAGGTCTAGTACGGCTGCTAAACATAATTGCCGGTTCCATCGGAATTTCATCGTAAACGCTAGGACTTGGCCGATCAGTTGTCCACATAGTTTTTTTCCATGTTTCCTCTTCGCCGTCTGAATCATCTGTTTCCGAATCTGAGTTAGTATTTGCTACTGGTGATTGTGGTTGTCGCCGTAAGGTCTGTTGAGTGCCAGAAGTACTGGGTGCATTTTGGATTATTCTTGCCCGCCTAAGCCGGTCACTGTTGGTTGGTTGAGGTGATGGACTAGGTTGGTTTTCAACAGACGCATTACTTATATTACTAATAAGACTATCAGGTGGATCAGGTGTGGGTGCTAGAATTCCATCATGAGGCTCATCAAGGCTCTCTAAAATTCTTTGAAGTTTCACTGTACTGTACTGCACATCTTCTTCATCGGATTCCAAATTATCATCTGACACATCGGGATCATCAGGTAAACCAAAAATCTCTTCTAATGCACAAGCTATTTCCAAGTCATTCAGTGCCTTTTCATTCATTTTCAAAATATAAATCTGTAACAACCAATACATACTGTCAGCTCCACGGGCAAAGGGAACATTTTTACCACCACAAAAAGCCCCTACTAACAAAATCTGCAAAATGTAGAATTGAAAATATGCTTGAATATCAATGAAATATACAATAAGCTTTAGAAATAATAACAACTTACCGTTCATGAGTCGCAGATATAAAAGATTTATAAAGATTTTAGAAGTCGTACCGAAACACACCCGATTTCAGTCTTCCAAACGTCACAGTGTAAAATCTAAAATGGCGACGTGTCATTACCATAGATGAAAAATGTTGACCGGATATCCATAAAAATGTTGCCAATAGGAAAAAATCTTTCCCTAAAATTTGCTTAACTAATAATGTGAAAATTAGTGGTGGGAAATATATTCCCGCTGCCTTAAAAAGGGTTAAAATAATTCAAAATATTGTTTATTATTAGTTCTAACAAAGTTTCACTGTTTTCAAAGAAAGAAAGAGATAATACAATGCTAGAGTAGCAAACATATATGTTAAGGAAAAACAAGAATAGCCATTGCTAGAGCGAGAGGGCGAGAGCCTCTTATCATATTTTATAGATAAAAATTGCTTAAAACTTTGTTTAAAAATGCGATTAAAGCTTTGTTTTCTGTCTTAGCTGTGTATTTTTTAAGATAAGTAGTAATTATGGTAGGACCTGTGTAAATTGAACAATATTTGTTACTATAAGTTGTAATAAAGATTAATATTTAAGATTTTAAGGTGTACGACACGTATGATAAGATATAAATTACGTAATAATGCTTTGTATTTTATTAATGTCATGTAAAATGTATATGTTTTATTGTACTTATTATGTAATCTTAAGTGTTCTTTTTGGAAAAGCATAATTTTTGTATGTGTCTTTGTTGAGAATAAAGTTATTTCGACAAAAAGAGAAATGTGATAACGAAAAATGCGTGCGAAATAGAGGGCTTTTTTCACATAGCCCACTTTACGGTGTAGCTAGAAAAGCATACCCCCATGGCGAGTCATTCGCATTTTATTACACCACAACGCCAAACACTGCCACCACCACCGCAAACACAACCCCAACCGCAGCGGATGCAAGAGACGCAACAGCCGGAACAACAACACGTAGCCACACCCCTACCGGTGCCAACAATCGCCATATCCGGGGCAACCTTGGCACTATCGGCTAATGCTCCCATCGAGCGCACAGAGCGTCCGAAAAGGAAACGGAGAGGGAGGAAGAAGAAGAAGGCGGCCACACTGGATGCAGCAGCAAGCACGTACACTCCACTGCCTCCATTGCCCCCCATTGCCACCACGCAGCAGCGGCCATAGCAGCCGCGCTATGCGCTATGTGCTATATGTATATGTAATTTCCCTGCCCCTATCCAGAGAGTGCAATCCACTACCCTCCAACCCCGAGAACCACCCCAAAGACGAATCCAAACCGAGACACTCCAACCGCAAACCCAGAATCAGGTACCATCCACCATCGAAGAGGCCCTCGCACAGTTGGTGGGAGTGGTCATAAAAATTCTGGGAGAGGTCCTAACTGCAACGACCACCCGTGCAAACCCACTCTCGGCGATTCTCACCGCCTTAGCCCAACTGTCGACCATAAGCAGAGTGCAAGGAAAATAAAATCTGTTATCGGAACCCCAGTGGCATCAAAGGGAAGGCCGCCGAATTGCGCACGTTGGTCCAGCAGCACAAAATTCAGGGTTTGCTGCTGGGGGAAACTAAATTGTACCCCTCTGTAAAACTAAAGCTACTCAACTTCTTCGTGTATCGCCACGATGAGATCTCCCCAGAAGGTATCGCGTACAGAGATACTGCGGTCCTTGTGAGGAGGGACGTCATGCACGAAGAAGTTGATACTGTTACGAGCTTGCGGTTCGTGACAATAAAAATTGCCGATAAAATTACCTAAATTAACACTTTAATTTACTTTACACAAATTAAAGTTAAAAACACTAATAATTAAACACACTTATTCACTTTTATTCCGCTCCGAAGCTTCGCTTGTTTCGCCAAATCAACACTACTTCCATCGCATCTTGCAGCGCCTATATATTTAAATTAGCAAAGAAATATCCAGAATGTTCAAGTAAACACGCGGAAGGTACCGAGCGTTCGAGTTTCGACTAGGCGCTGTCAGTTGAGATGTCATTCACTGCAAAGCTCCCCTCGCTCTCGTTCCTGACACTAGATGGCGCTAGTGTATCGTCGACTTTAGCGCGTAACACTGCCCCCTCCTAAGACATGCTCGTCCCGAGCATTATCGGCCCCATAATAACGCGCCAAGCGATTCACATGGACGATCTTAGGAGTCCCTCTTGCGCCTTTCTGTAACGGCTCCGCAATGTCAAGGGCTGTCCTATCCCGTGGTGCATCAACATTGTACAATTTCGGTGCTCCTCTACTACGTGTCCGAGGTCCCCGCACGGCCGCACAACTTGTACATGTACGACACCAATCCTCGACATCGTCACGATAATGGACCCAGTAAAACTGTTCTCGGACCTTCAGTAGAATTCGTTTAACTCCCAGATGGACTCTTGAACGACCGTTATGGCACAACTGTAGAACATTCGGCACTTTAGCTTTAGGGACACCAATTGCAACCGACGGCTGTCTCTTCGACCATTGTCCCATTTACGGCACAGGAGTCCATCCTGAATCAGCAAGCTGTCCCATTGGGCCCAATAGCTTTTCGTGGTTGAACTCATCGCTGAGATGTCCCTCCACTTAGGCTTGGTAGCACGGGCCTTCATCCATCCCAGAATCGGCTTGATGTCCGGATCTTCCTGCTGTGCATGTCGTAGGTTGTCCTTCCATTCGTTGCTGAGGTGGTCCGTCCTGAGCATCCTCACGGATACCACCTCCTTACTCTCTTGCCTACTACAATGGTTGCAATCTTCAGGACAAGGTCTTCTTGACAATGCATCTGCGTTGCCGTGAGATTTCCCGCTGCAGTGTCTGATAGTAAAGTCGTATTCCTGCTGCTGCTGGGCGGTGCTGTTAGCCGCACTTCCTTTCTGAGACCGTTCACCTTCCCTTCCTAGGGTGTGCTTAGGGCAGCTGGACCGAAGATGGCCCCTTTCCCCACAGCCATAGCACCTAGGGCTGTATCTTTTATTGTGGTCGCGAACCGTAACTGCTGTAACCTCCCTAGCGTGAGGTGAACGATGATCCTGTCGCCGCCAGGCAGTGCCGTTAGCTGCACTACCCTCTCGAGATCGATCAACTCACCTTTCCACGGTTCGTTTAGGGCAGTTGGATCGAAGATGGCCCTTTTCACAGCCATAGCACCTAGGGCTGTATCCTTTGCTGCGGTCACGGACTGTAGCTGCTGCAACCTCCCTGACGCGATGGGAACGATGATCCTGCCGCACGGCTTCCACCTCCAGTGCATGGGCCAAGGCGTTCTTAAGCGTGTCGTGGTGCCCGAGCCTCACAGCAGCTCTGACTTCCAGGTCGCGGATGCCGTCGATGAATGTCTGCACCAGGTTCCCTTCAATGAGCGCAGGTACAGACCGGTATGCTTTTCGCACCAACTTCTCCACTTCTAGAGCCCACTGCTGCAGGTTTTCGTTGATGCGCTGCACACGATCTTTAAGCTGCGCACGAAAGACGTGTTCCAGGTGAGCGTCGCCATATCTCGCTTCCAAGGCCTCAAGAAGCTGCTCATAGGTCACTTTCTTACCGAGAGCTTCCAACACAGTTAAGGCTTGGTCGCGCAGGCCTAAGGTGAGTGCAGTCATGGCTTGGCTTTTATTCCAGCCGTTCGCCTCCATGACGGCCTCGAACTGGATTTTGTAGGCCGACCAGGAAGAGGTCCCGTCGAACGGCGGCACTTTGAATCCACGTAGCGAAGGTGCTGCAGCTACTACGGGAGCTGTAGTTCCATCCGCAAGTTTGAGGTCGTTTAGCGTTTTCTTCACGTCAGCCATCACGTTGTCAACCCGATTGTTCACATGGTTGATTCGGGTTTCATGTTCTTCGATTCGGGTTTCAGCTTCCGACAGGCGGTTGTCGTGTTGAGCAACCCTATCCTTCACGTCCCTTATCTCTTTCCCAAAGGTAGCGTGAAGGTCCTTCATGAGGAGCATCTGCTCTTCCGACCGACGAGCCTGTTCCGCCTGCTGACGGGCCTGTTCCTCTCGTCCGCTCTGCAGCTGCTCTTTCAACTGACGGACCTGTTCCTCCTGTCGGCGGGCCTGTTCCTCCTGTCGGCGGGCCTGT